CAACTACACGTAATTCTGTTTTAAGGCTGAATATAAAGGCTAGATTAGTTGATTACCCATACAGCTGTGATTAAAGAAAAGATCAGCTGTTCAATTCCCAGGACTGTTTAACAAAATTCCAAAGTTCAAGCACAGCGGTGTTTAGTTTCAAAGTATGAAAAACTACTTTTCTCCTGATCAAACTGACAACATCCTGTAAGGCTAGAACTTAGCATTAAAGCAGAATAATTTCATTTTGGAGACTTTTAAATCAGTTACATAAGTTACCAAATATGAGATTTCAGTTTATGGTGCAATATGCACAATACCAATTCCATCTTAGGACTCTCTCAACTTCACCAGCTGACCGACTGACATTTGGCGCGTCTCATTCCCGCCAAAACTCTAATCTCACGTAATTGTTGGCGATCTTCACACCCGGCCCGCTACTTCAGTTCCGTTACTTCAACTCATCATCGAATATTTCACAGGCATTCTTTTAATATTTTTTTTACCAGTAGGTTTCTCTATATGTACAAAGAAGGCTACTTATCTCAGCCAAGGAGAACCTGTCCTACTTTGGAGGACTTTCTCTAATAAAAGTCATCCTTACTCATTCTCAAAAACCTTATATATTTGCATGACTGCAGTCTTACCTGCTACATTTTGGCAACAGGCGTCAACTTGTACCTCTTTCAAAATTTGAAGATACAACTTGACGGTGGCGTACCCGTCAATTTGTTCCTATAACTACTTATATCCACGTCATAATATTTGTACACTTAAAACGAAATATCTCAATTTTACACTGCGTTGCATTATTTATTATGTCGCTCGTTTTGCACTTCCAATGTTTGGAAATTTCTCAACCCTTCACTAAGAGGTTTACTCGCTTTGAAAGCCCCTCAAGTGTCTTTTCTTCAAAATCCTAGTCAACTTCATTTGAGTCTTCAATGTTTCAAAATTTCCCATTTGCGGCGTCATATTATCACGTTACCTACTTCTGAGCCCACAAGCGTCACTCTAACCCCAGTTTTCGACTTATATTGTTTCAAAATTTCTCAAATCCTTCAGTAAGTCGTCCTCAATACGTATACGGAGCCGCTACTCGACTATCTGGCAGTAGCAGCGATCTGCCGCAATCGTAGATAGCATCTCCACCATATGGCGGGTACACGCCATTGTAGCCTATCTGTCCACTACAATAAACAATGCTAACTGATACATAATATGACAGATCACCCACCATTGTGGTGTACAAGTGGACGAATACATTAGCTTCTGACTACAGACACATACTCTGATAAACAGATACTTGTGGATAACGTTCGCATGTTAAGGTTGTAGAATGGTTAGCTTTCGAATTTAAAAAAATCCATATATAAATCCCAAAGTACCCATAAACCTTTGAGAAACTACAAATCACATCCCCATAAACCATAGACTTAAAATTTTCGTCATGACGAGAAACATAGCGCAGAACAGTCCATTATTTTATAAGTTGCCCTTTAAGGTCGTACCGGTAATTCATTTCTAAAGAGAAGGCATTAATATATCTTTAATCCCCTTCCTGACTGTGTTCTGGTTTGTGCCTGAAAAACAAGAGGAGAGAAGGATCTGCTAGAAAAATCTGTGCTGATAAATTTTAGAGGCATCATCAGGACACGAACCGAAAATACCGCCACTGCGACTATTGGGAAATATTGTGAGTCGACTGCCAATAATTGGAAAAATAATATCCATTTTTCTGTCGTCTATCATCTTTGTACACAGTCCCCATCGTCATTTTAACATTATTAGTTTAGTAATTTAAATTGGTACGCTGCTAAGTTGTTAGCCTAAATATGAATCAAAGAGTGCGACCCTTTTTGATTTTTGTTACTGACTGAAACCAACTAGTAAATCGACTTGAAGTTGAATCACTCATCAACCACCAAAAAGCTAAAAGAATTCCTCAAAGCACTCGACTCAGCTATACACACAAAAACAAATTACGCTTACATTTTGTTTGTACTCAATAATTAAAATTAGTTCTGTCCCAAAACAATTTCAGCCCGTGGGTCACCACTGTCTTGGGTCTACTATGTAGCTGTAAACACACTGGTGGTGACTAATAGGATCTGCGTGACGAAAGAGAGTTAAAACCCAATCAGCTGGTGCCATTACATTCTCCCCGCCTGGCGTTTATACGGTGTGACAACGCCGATTTGACGGTGTGTTTTTATGTGTGTTTATTTAGGAGTGTGTTATTTCAGCGTGAAATTATTTAATTTCAGATTTGTGCTTCAAGTATTTTGTAGGGTTTTAATTACGAAGACACGTTTGGAATTGGTATTGAATCGCTTGAAGTTGATGTAATTTGGAAATGTCATATAGATAGGCTAATCAACCGGCTTCTTTCAACTTTCTCTGAAAAAATGGCCAACGTTTTTTTAGTGTTGTTTATACTTTTAACTTAAAAAAAAAATGCCTTCAAGTACTGAACTATTATACATCTTCCATGGATTTATTATGTTTATGGATCAGCTGAAGACAGTTTTAAGGCTAGCTCCGACCAGTTTTATGACGGGGAGCTTCATAAATCACGTTCATTGGTTATTTACTATTTGCTCTATGTTTTATTTTATCAACTTTAAATAACTTTTCAACATATTATATTAGTGTTTTTATATTTATTTCCATTAGGTACCAAAGAGTAAAGTAAAAACCGTTATATAAACCATGAAATAAGAGAGAGTAACGGTCATTTAACAAAGAAATTTTCTATAGGCGATACATCAAATTTATAACTGAGACTAAGTAAAACCATTGACTATTGGATACAGTATTAATATTCAAAGATAAAACTTATAAATAAATTTGTTTGCTATACAGTTGTCTCCATAGTTATTGCAAATGTTTAACACCTTAGGTGCAGCAAGACAGAAATAGATTTATGCTTATTAAGATATCGTTGTTATATCCATAGTTTTTATTGAATTTAATGTATCTTACAATTTTGTGGTAAAACAAACGAATTTCGTGAAATTCTGCATCAAATATTTAAATTTAGCACTATTTAGAAATGCTTTAAGATTTCTTATTCTCATATATTAACGCAAAGATAGTGGTCAATTACATTTATAGAATCTCAACGTTGTAGCTCAGAGTGTTTTTTGGTTTGTTTTTTTTTTGTTTTTTTTTTGTTTTTTTTTGTAAAAAACTCATATGGATAACAGACAGACGCTAAACGAAACATGACATAATGTCTGAATCAACATGTTTGGCTATTTTTACCCAGAGCATCACTACGTAGATCACGAACCAGCTTACTTAAATATTAGGCTATTTATTTTATTTTTTAGTGCACTAAGTCTCATAAATACCTTAACAAACCCAATTTATACGTAAGACATACACACTGGTAATAAACTGACACACTGATTCTTATAGAACTTTAATCATCTGCAAACAGAAGACAACAACTTACATCTATTGACTAGATTCACTCTTCCACTAGGTGGCTTGAAATTTCAACAGAACGTAATAAATGAAACCACGAGATATAATACATAACAAGATATACACAGTCTATGCCTAGAATAACATTAACAGTAAAATATATACCCTATAATATTATGATAGGTAGTGTGTACATCTCGGTAAAATACAGTAAGTACATACACTCAGTACATTATATACATAGAGACAAAATATGCTTATAACGTTGGAATATACACATGTATAGCGAAGCGTTCACGGGCACTACTCTACTAAGCGAGGCAGCCTTTGTATCTTGCGTGAACTTTAAAAAACGTTTACTGTTTGGGAATCAATAATCTTGGATTAATTTATAATTCAAGTTAGTAGCGAGTTAAGTTTTTTGTCCAAATATCTTTTACTAGTATAAGTGAATGTTTCTACTATTAGTTATAACAGAAATAGATTTTTCAAGTACACCAAATCTTATGATTATAACTGCTAAGAAAACAAGCAATCAACTACTATTATTTCATAGGCTTATTCGATTTTTGGTGGGTACCGTAATCTACAATTGTAATGTTTCTCGAGTGCAGCAAAGGCCATTTGCGCTTGTGTTACACATTATATGTTTCCTACAGTCACCATAAAGCATAAATACTCAGTCTTTGAAACACTATACAACAAGTTTTTGGGTTAGGTTAAACCCAAGCGTTGAACGGAATGGGAAACACTGCACCAGCCGATAATAGTCGCAGTATCTTTAAGTGTTACTTATTTTTAAGGGTACACGTAAAAACATTAATAATCAGTACCTATATATAAAAAAAATACCCCCGCCGCAGCATACCTGCCGACTAAGCGAATTTCCATTTGTCTGAACTGATTTTCAATTTAAATCTATTTAAATAACATTAGGTTTAACAAGTACCTAGGTTTGCTGCTACAAGAAAACTAATTAAGCGAGTTTTTTTTAGTAAAATATTAATAGCTTAGTATAAAAGAAATAAATTGGCCAAGTTTAATCCAAATTTATCAATAAACAAGCAAACTACATCATTTTACAATATTCTCTATAAGAATAACATGGGAATTTTAAATTTACAATTTTTGGAATTTTCTCCGTTACCAATAACCGTACAAAAACACTTTGATATACTAAATTATTTGCTTTTTTAAGCTCTTTAACAAGGTCTAGAGAGAAATTGAGAAATTTTGTGTTTTGAGGGTCAAAAATGAGAAAAACCATTTTTTACCCCATAAAAGTCCCCGTAAAACACTGTTCCCATGGTCCGATCATGCTGGTTCGCGAACTCATTCAAGTTTATACCGCCTTACACCTTCAAACCAAATTTCATCAAAATCGGACAAAAATTACTCAAGTTATCGCGTTCACGGACGTATATATATATATATATATATATATATATATATATATATATATATATATATATATATATATATATATATATATATATATATATATATATAAATATATATATATATATACATATATAAAAATTTGAACGAATAGTGTTTTTGGCCTCTGGGGACATCAAAATGAAAAAGTAAATCGGTCCCGGGCCTAGGTCTTACCGTGCCACCTACGGTAATAGCTACTTCCCTATAGGGAAATTCGCTAAAACATAATAAACAAGTAATTTTGTAACTTAAGCTCCAAAAAGAAAACAGTTCGTATGCTCGTTGTGTTGCCAACCTATTTCCAAGCGTACACGGTTTACTTGTATAGTAAAACCACGCTGTTTTGTGTTGTTTGGTTGGAATACTGGTGTGCGTCTAAGTATAAGCCGAGCGACAAAGTATAAACGATGCAACAAAGTAAATAAATGCAGCAATTAGCAGCTTTCTCTACTATAATCAGTGCAAGGAAGCCAACTTTGTCAGGTGACTGTAGAAAAAATAGTAATTTTTCCTACGAGTTTTCTTTTTTCTTTTTTAGATTAGGAAGTATAAATACCTACCTTGCTGACTAAGTTGTGAGTTTACAGGCTTTGAACTGAAACAACTCATGAGTGTTTTCACGTTAAGATAAAAAGGCTGCAAAGTATCATCTAGGATCTAATTTAATCTACTCTACCGAATATGAATACATCATCTGCGTTGTGTGGGACAAAGTAAGAGTTGGTCTATGAGGGTACACATTGAAATACCGCTTACCATCAGTACCAAACTACCAATGGCTGTCGCCAACGGGTAAAGATACTGATACATTACACGGGCAGGTAACTTTATTCCACGTCGTCGAATACATTCGGTTATGTATGCGATCAATTACAAAATCAATAAAATATTGAGCAACTTATTTCCGCTAAGGTGCCAAAAGACTAATAGCCAAACGAATGTTTTAAGTGTAAAGACCATAAACACAAAAGTCAAGATCTAGATGGCTCAGTGAAATAGTTGGGTAGACTTTCGTATCTGTTGACACAAACGACCGAATGAAAATATCGATCAATATATCGAATGAAACACTCGAATAATCGATAATTTCGTTCGGTTGTTTGTGCCAACAGATACGGAAGTCTACCCAAATAGTTTCGTAAGAAGAATATATCACTAAATTTTAAGAGTAGTTTATTGTACCTTGTAAATGACAAACAAGAGTAGAAAGTTAAAATAAAAACATTCTATCGGTTAGCAAAAGTATGTAAATAATCAATTGCAAAGATATGTTGCTCAACTTCTATAAGAACCGTGTTCAAAACAAAATGGCTGCTAGCCATCGTAACCATAATTGTACTATATAACAATGTTTCAACACTCAATTCGCTAAAGACATACAATTAAAGTTTATATATTCATTCCTTATTATTGCTATAAAACCATATTCTAGCCACTTACATAACTCTTCAACTATAGGAAAAAAACCTGCTGTAAAGCACTTGTCAATGAATTCTGTCAATTCACCTCTAATTATAAGCAACCTTGGCTATTCTCTATGCTGGCATAAAACCGATCTATTCTTAAGCATTTGGGTTATTTCTACACCCCACTAAAGAACCGGAAATGAACTATAGTCTTAAAGATTTCACTAATTCCAAGCTAAATTCGTTTTTATCATTTCAAATCTCACACTAACAACCATTGAATTGGTCCGCAATCATGTAAAGTTAATATTCAACTGAATAAAATTAAGTTTAAACTATGAATAGCTAAGAATCCATAAAACCTACCAGTTGTTGTTGACAAATGCGATTTTTAATGGTTAAAACAACTCTTGGTCTGATATACGGAAAACGGTTTAAAATTTTGACTAACCACAAGGAGCTGCAATCCAAAAATAATGTTTAAAAAATTACAGAATGATTTACAACACACCAATGAATACACGAAGGGTTCGCACAATTCATATAAAAACGAATATCACACGAAAACGATATGTCTAAGCTAGCGACTAGCGTACACAACGAAATTTGTGAGTCCTAAAACCAGCTCTCAACTTAAGTTTACTATACAAGCCTAAGGGGAGGCTAGATATGTACAAAGCTTAGTATGCATAGTATTGTCCATTGAATCATGTCATCCCAGCCAAAGTAAACATGTACTGAGACACATTCACAAGTATTCACCTATACTACGGAACAGTTACATTTACAAGCTGATAGATACGACAAGACTTATAAGTACAGTCAGTTACAAACAGTTTGTACAGTCTTTTCCACGAATACAGACGAGAAAGGTTCCAAGAGATGATTCGGGTACAGTAAGCTGAAACAGAAATGTCAGAGTTATAAATATAGTTTGCACACGTTTGAATGCTGTGGGGTTATTAGTGTAGTCAATTATGACGATACAGTATTCTGAATGATGTGTCAGGATATCAGAACAGATAACTGTAAGAAACATAAACATGTGCAACAACTCAGCTGCTACGAACATGAAATTTAATTATTAAGTTCACTGTCCGGAATAAAACAAAAATTAATAAAAAAAAAACATTTTAAGCCGTAGGCCTACCAGAAGCCATAAATAGTATTAGTTTCCTTTAGGCCAGTGAAGTAATTTTGTTTGTCCTGAAAACATATTTATAACTTGAAACATCATAAAATCAAAGCAGCTATGAAATTATTATACATTTTCCTTACTAAATGAACAATATTAACAGTTCTTCATACAAATCTAAAATCACGATCAATTTTGACAACTAATGTTTGACAGCTTAGGCTACACATATTCATCCTAATTGAATAAAATAATGCCTCATCAAAATACGTACGTTGATGAGCAATGAGATTCATACGCATGTAGGTAGCTATGAGGCTATTCACAAGTTGTACAGTGAATATCACAACCCAAGCACTGTATACCTAACCCAGGCGGTCAAAATGTATTTAACTTTCCAATCTTGAAATTGGGAGATGTTCGTCTAAATACGCCTGAGAGAAGCCCAACCAATTTCTTTACATTGTTAGCAAATGCAACTGACGAGTACACTCACACACTCAGTAGACACAGACAGAAAGGGGAGTGAGCTTAGCTTGAAGAGTCGCTGTCGCTCTCAGCGGCGGCAGGCGGTGGTGGAGGGCGAGGTTCCTCTGCTATAGGCGCAGGCTTGGCGACGGAGGTGGCAGCTATGTAGTCACCTGGGCCTTCGCCCTGTGTGAACTCTATCTCCACTCTGGAACATGGATATTGAGCACACATAACAACAGAGCCTTGCAATAGTTTTTACTAAAACTAGTGAGTATGTTGCATGTTCGTGATTTGAATCATTAGTGCAGTGGATTCAATACAATCCGACAGGTGTAAGTTTGTGAAAACCATTGTTGAATACGCTTAAAGGTTTACCACCCTGTTAAGCATTTACGTAACAGCTGTTAAAACGAGAAAATATTGCTGCTTCAAGATGATGGACGTCTTATATTAACAGCTTGACCTAAATACCCCCGCCGCAGCAAACCTGCAGACTAAGCGAATTTCCATTGACCTGATTGGATTTACACTAAAATGCCTCCATAAAAATAGCACATTTATTTTCTATTTAAATAGAATTAGTTTAACAAGTACCTTAGGTTTGCTGCAACAGGGAGGGTAAAAAAGATTTTTTTATAAAATGATAATAGTTTAGTAAGAAATAAAAGTATTTTCAAAATCGATCAAAATATGTTCATAAACAAGCAAACTACAACAGTTGACTTATTCTCCATAAGAATAACATGGGAATTTTAAAATTACAATTTTTTTGAATTTTCTCCGTAACAATTAGGCGCATAATAACGCTTCAATATACTAAATTATTTGTTTTTTTAAGCTCTACAAAGTGGTTTAAAAAGAAATTGTGAAATTTTGTGTTTTTAGCGGCAAAAATGGGAAAAACCTATTTTTACCCCATAAAACCCCCCATAAACCCCCGTTCCCATAGTCCGATCATGCTGGTTCGCGAACTCATTCAAGTTTATCCCGCCTTACACCTTCAAACCAAATTTTATCAAAATCGGACAAAAATTACTCAAGTTATCGTGCGGATGGACACATATATATATATATAGATATATAAAAATTTGAACGAATGGTGTTTTTGGCCTCTGGGGACATCAAAATGAAAAAGTAAATCGGTCCCGGGCTTAGGTCTTACCATGAGACCTACGGTAATAGCTACTTCCCTATAGGGAAATTCGCTAATAAAAATAAATGTAATTCTCTTCAGGAGTGTATGGTAGAAAATTTAATGTGAAAGATGAAAAGTTCACAATGATAAAATGTCCATGTTTTTGTCCATCTTTACTCACCATCTTTACAAAGTACTATAGTCTGTATGATGAACCCTGACTCCTGACCCACCGTCTAACTGGGAACTGGCTCATTGTTTAAGGGTCGAGCCAGTCCCAGGTAGATGGATGGTCAGGACTCCCTAGTTTAGACTATAGTTCCCTAGTCGACAACATGTGCATAATAAATATTCCTCAGAAAGTGAAGCGTTTCCACATCAAACCATCAGCATTGTAGTGCAAACACCTTATAATAAAAAATAAATTCTTAACTTCTAATTTCGACGCATGTAAACTGGAGTTCTCACCTATACTCGTGCCTTGCCAGCTGCCGTACATATTTCTCCGGCGGAGTATCACTATCGCTGTCATTGATGGACACAGATCTCACAGTGGTGTGAGACACCTGGGTAACCGGCATTGTGAACTCCACCCAGCAGAATCGGTCAAACTCCTCGGGTATCTGGTCGTACGAGGTGAGAGCCATGTGGCACACCAGGTCGTGTTGTGTGTAGGCTCCTGGACAAGGTGGAAATATTAGAAGCACACAGGTGTCAGAAAAAAACGCATTGGCAATGTTAACTCCAGTAAGTGAGGGTAAAGTTGTAGGATGATTATTGTTCAATCGTTTTCCCATACTAATTTAGAGGTTAAATTCCTTTCCAACGTAATCCTTGGTAGTCTTAATGGCTACCGGTTTCGACACACTTGTGGTGTCATTGTAAAGCCTAGACGTGGTTGTCGTTCCTAGGAGGTCGTCAGAAAGTCTTCAGAACACATAAAAAAAGTTTTTTCGTTTTCGTTATTTATTCGTTTAGTTTATGTGTTTTCAAGATTTTCTGCCGACCTCCTAGGAGCGACACCCATGTCTAGGCTTAAAAATGACACCAGGATTGTGTCGAAACCGGTAGCCACTAAAACTACCTAGGATTACGTTAGCATCAAAGTATTTAACCTCTACACTAGTAATTGTTAAGTAATCCGGAAGACAACACCTCAGAAATGAAGTTTTCCCATGATTGTTATGACTATCTGGGCACTAAGAGAGCGTCAGACCTTTTCTCGGCAAGGTTAACACTTTGCCGTATTTGATCGCAGTTTTAAACCTCCATGACTCCCAAATATTCTCCATCCCTGACCTTGACTTACCCTGACCCTCCTTGGGTAGTCTAGGGATCCTCCATACGATAGCTCGGTGCTGATGCTCGTATTTAGCGACTCCTGATGTCGCCTCCATCAACTGTGGTTCCAGGTTGTCCACTGCGCCGAGGAAACGCTCCAGACCCTTCACCTTGCCCGTCCTGAAAACGGCGAGAGTTACAGGTAGGTTGAGTGTTGACAAATTACAAAAAAGAGTATTCTTAGGTTCAGTTTGACACTAATTTCTTTGGAATAGGTCCGTTCAATTCAACACTTACTTTATGACGTGTATGAATTTAAGGTTGCATTTGGAAGCTCTTCCGAGTTCGTATTTCACCTTGGGTTGGTTGGAAGAATGTAAGATGGGTTTGCGTAAAGGCTTATGACGTCAGATTATTGATTTTGACATCAATGATGCGAGGTTATTTTCCTGCTTGTGTGAGTAAACTTACTTGCATTCAAATTGGTCTACTCGTCACAAAAATCTCCAAACAAAGTTTGTAGTTACAAAAATCAGTTTGAAAGAGTAATCATATCATTGCAACTTGTTTGCCAAACAAATTCAAACTTAAGTAAATGATGGATAGACAAAATAAAAGAGGAAAACCAATCCTTGAAAATCTTTATTCATAAACCTATACTTAGCTTTGGTAAAATCCTCAACAAAAAACCTACCTCCGATGTGCAGACTTGACTGAGCCGTATCGGAAGTGCTTCTCCACACGGAAGAGGTAGATCCAACATTCTGGAATAGGGATGCGAATACAAACGTCCTCACAAGGAATCTGGCCAAGTTTTCTGCTGGAGAACCCAGGGACCAACACGTTGGCACGGAGGTCAACCTGGAAACAGACGTAGTAGAGTTTTACCATGGACTGACCATACTCCAGAATGATTCCCCCTCATCTTTGCAGCGTATGAGATTCGTGTGGACGTTAGACTTTTGGCAAAGAGCGTTCCGGTAAGTCCAAGAGCTTTATTACAAAACCTTGGATAAAGATTATTCTTATTGATATCTTTAGGTAGAGTAAAGTTTAATTTTACCAAATCATAAAAACACTGTACATAGAGCCACTCGAATTAATCTAGAACATCACCACAGGATAATAATGTATGATCTGTCACCTTATTTCCCGTTATGCACATGGTGACCCGCAGCTGTAGAGGCAACTCCCTGTTGCGAGGAGGGCGCACTCTGAACCTCATCAGCTCTATGTAACAAGCATCCGGGGGCTTGAATCTGAAACAAATTATTCATTAGCATCTTGCAAAATAGCAAAGTCAACTGTGAGAATCGAGTTTGGCTTATGATTCTCAAGTTTAGTGATAAACCAAGATTTTATGCGTTATGATAGTTGCATTTTTGAGGCATTTAGATTGTCTCACTTCACCAAGGTAATGAGTTGTTGTTTATTCGAAGGAGAATAAGGTTAAATTTTTCTATTATATTCACTCCTATCCTAAATCCTAAAGGGGGGCTACAGGAGCAGCCCCCATTGGACCCTGGAAAATTAGTTTAACCATACATTTCGTCCTAAAAATTCCAAAGGGGTTTGGATACTGCTCTAGTAATTTAAAAATGCTTTAGAAAGCAACCAAACTACTTTTAAATTTCATATAGTATCTACTAAAACTCACTTGATGGTCCTCGTTCTCTCATACTCGTCCTGTTGCACACAGCTGTGGAACTCCACCGCCTCCAGTCTGATCCACTCCTCGGTGACCACAGGGATGATGTCGTGTCTGCCAACCACCTCCTTGCCTTGCCGGACCAGGTCGTTTACACCCAGCTCCACGTCCGGCATACCTGTGGGAAAAGAGGGTGAGATTATCTGTGAAAAGGAGAATCAATCAAATTTACGAAAAAGAAAGAATATAGCTAAAGTAGAACCGAGAATTCCTGAAAGAGGCATAGAAAAGGCTATGACAAGGAAACTGCTATCACAAGGGGTTATACAACTAACTGTCAGACTTTGGGAAAGAATCTTAGGCACATTCATCTGTAACAGAAGCCGATTGAACATAGCCTAACAAAGGGAGATGAAGCTCTCTCCTGCGATAGGAACTAAGACCCTGCGAAATAAACAAGCACATCTGCATAAAAAATATATTTAAGGTTTTCTGCAATAAGTGATCCATGGATACCTGCAATGAAAGAGATCTTAGGATACCTGCAACAAAACAAACCCTAAGATTCTTGCAATGAAGGATATCTAAGAATATTTACAATGGAAGAGATTTAAGAATGTCTGAAATGAAAGAGATCTAAGGATATCTGAAATTAAAGAGATTTAAGAATCTGCAATTAGCGGTTTTTCAAGATTCGTGCTTACGTTTTTTTTCGTTTTGACAATTTTACCAACTACTGTTGTGATTAATATTGACCAAACAGCTATAGCTCGGCCGCTTAGAAAACGACCTGCGCGCTAATGCTAAACCAATGCTGGAGGAGGTCGTTTTCTAAGCGGCCGAACTATAATTATTGGCATTAATGTGATTTGATAGAAACCCCAAAAATCTGGCATTAAACATGTCTCAATTAAACTTAGTCAATCTTACACAACATGAACCTATCGTACCCCAAATCGTTTAGTGTTACAAAGAATATTAATGCATACAATTTAATAAAATTCAATAGAGAGACAAAGCTTTGACAGGACGAGAAAGGAGATTATAAAACCACGAGAGTAAACAGACAGTTAATCCGCTGATATGAGACCCGGCTTGTTTACAAAAATGACTTTTATTTATATGTAACTTTTTCAATAAATTTATACTCATTCTTGACTTCATTAAATTAACCGATAGTATTTTTTATTTAGTTAAAAATACAATCCTTTTCAAATATTTACTGTAATTATGTGTCTTACCAAGCGTAGAATGGTGGTATTCTCTGAATGGTTACATGCAAAGATATTTTGATCAATATTTTTTCAATCAATGTTCCCCCTTTTTTGTATCATACCTGACAGGAATCCGAGGAAGAACAGTCGAACCCTGGCTATCTGCTTGACAATTCCTCCACTCTTGTTCTGGTCCACCCACAGCTCGTCCACGGCGGTTATTTGTACCTAGTTGTAAAAAACGACTAGTTTTAGCAAGCTATAAAGTTGAAAACAATACATTCAAATATAGTACATCTTAAATGTATATTAACAAGATTATTGCACTAATTGGACGTTGGATTAAACAGAGGAAAGTTCTGCTTGCAAGGGAAACAATTTTTTTTGTTTCTAGATATTCTTGGCCGTATTATATTATTGGATAAAAAAGCCACTGAGGCTGTTCTAGAAATTAGTAACGAATAACTCAGCCAAAATATATAATCCTACATATGTGGGTGTACAGTTTAAGGTAGGCAAAAGTTGTAAAGAAATCCACTGTTTTATCCAAACCATTAATTTGATATACAACTTCAGGAAGTGTTTACCACAAAAGATCCACGAGTTTAATACTATTTAAAGGTTCCTCCAAAAGCATTCTTCATATATCCCTCCAATAGAAGAGAAACCAGTTAACATAGTAATAATAACTCCTATGACGTACTGTATAAGAAATATGTTATTTTTTGAATGATCAACCATATTTTGTAAACGCAATAGATATTATTGTTTTTACACTTATTTATTACTCATTAAACAATGCTAAATGCTCATTTTTTATAATTTCACTCTATTTATCACAGTTAGATGAATTAGCGTAAGCCTTTAAAGCAACCGTTGATTTCGAATGGGGTTCACCTAGTAAAACTATAAAACTTGCTAATGTGTTCTTTTCCTTCGCATTGATGATATATAGTGCAGTAAAAATAAGAAAAAATTCCATAAACCTAAAAAAATAGCACAACCGGGGAATTTGGTACAGATGTTGGGTATACCTTCCTTTTGAACATACTAAAAGTCCCCTAAAATTGAAGCTGTGCTACGGCCAAAGGACAAATAATCGCCATCTGTTTAGTAAACACAACCAACATTCGTATATTGAATTTTGTAAATTGTCAATTTAAAACTCCCATGCTATTCTTATGAATAAGTTAACTGTTGTAGTTTGCTTGTTTATAGATATATTATGATCAAACTTGGAAAATTAGTTATTTGATACTAAGTTATTAATATTTTACTAAAAAAACACACTATAATAAACTACATGTAGCAGCAAACCTATGTACCTGTCGAGCCTAATTTTATTTATATACATTCAATAAAACATCCAATTAAATGGAAATTTGCTGAGTCTGTAGGTTTGCTGTGGCGGAGTTGTTTTACTCATAAGATAAAGTTTAATTTTAAGATTTTATAGTATCACACTATTTAACTAAATGGGATGAATTATCCTAAACCTTGAAAGTAACCGTCAATTTACATGTGTTTCACCCATTTTTTATAAATAGAAAAAACTAAACATACTTAATCACAAATATCTAGAAAACCGTTGGGTTTAGAGAAATATGAGAAATAAAAAATGTGTATTTTTAGATGGACTCCATTTTGTATATTTAGCTTTTTCGTGTATCTCTAATAATAAAGTCACTATAGCGAAAAATACAGAAATATGCCGCAATTTTCCAATATGGCGGCCGTAGCACAGCTTCAATTTTAGGGGACTTTTAGTATGTTCAAAAGGAAGGTATACCCAACATCTGTACCAAATTCCCCGGTTGTGCTAATTTTTTTGGGTCAAAACATATTTTTATTGTACTAATATCAGATGCGATCGTCTTTTTCATTGTTTAATCAGCTGATGAATTATAAAAAGTTTGTACCTCTTCCATCTTGTAATTGAGAGCGCGATCACGGTGAGCTGGCAACCGGAACAGCGCCTCCTCGATACAAACGCTGAACTGCTTCATGTCTTCATAGTTCTGAGAGCCTATCTTGAACAGCTGGGAAATCTGTAAAAAAAAAAAACATATCTAATAATGACACAAACTTATAACAATCAAATTATTTCTCCAATCACTAACAATGTAGACTTGTAGTGACAGTTTTTGTTATAATTATTCTCGTAAATCAGCAACGAATAAAGTAGTATTCACAAGCATCAAATCTATCTGAAATTAAAAATATACTATTGCACCCTAGATTTAAATTAGATCAAAAGTTTGTAAAAAGCCTAAAAGAAATGTGAATATTATTTAATTACAAAAACAAGTAATGCGAATAAAACAAATTGTATATCTTTCTTTACCGATGCATCTACCCTCGGGGTGGCAAATAAACAAAACAATTATGAAAAAGATAAGTTACAGACGCAAAATAACAAAATAAGAAATATTATGTGCTCGATGGGTTTCACGCGCGCCTTCATTTTGAAAGAACGCAATCCGGGTACTGCTTTCCTGTTGTTGTCCTATTTTTGAAGGAGGTATCATTCGAAGCCAAGATCGAAGTTATCATTCAAATGAATATGCCAAATCATGGGCCCAATTGAGTCATAAAAGTAAATCATAATTGTTTGGAGAAACTTCTATTTAATTTAAACATAGCCTACAGTTAAGAGTTTTTTGTTTTGAAAAATAACTAAGATAAATATATAGTTTTTTTTTTGCTTTTTTACGTTACGTATCATATGTGAAACATAATTTATCGTTAAAACCCATTAATTTACATGGAACTTCTTAAAAAAATAAATAACATGTCAACTATGAGGCCGCAGTCGTGGCAACGCCTACATTTTAGAGAAAGCAATTTAGATATTGTACTTATGTAGCTGTTCTTTTATTGAAGGTTCAGTACTCAAATTGTTAAACAAACAACACTAATTCTACACAGAATAGGTAAAATCTAGTGAATTTTTTAAATATTTTTTGTCTTTAGGTAATTATTAAGTGAAACACCACAGAGTACTGTTAGTGTTATGTAAAAATGTGTTATTTTTTTGTTATATTTTAAGCTACCCCCTTATATTTTTAGCTTAAAGAATGACTTATGAACTTATGAACATGTTATTATATTGTACGAATAAAGATATTTTGATTTTATTTTATTTTATTATTACAAATCTTGGAAGGACAAAACCTACAAACGAACCTGTCTTATCAGTAGTAAATCAAAGATCAAGTAGTTGCCGTGAAGCCTTCGCCTTATGTAAAGCAATTTGGATACAGTACTCATGTTGCCGCCACATGCTTGAAGGCACTCTATTATTAATATACTAAACTCGTCACCAAAAGCAGTTTTAAAAAACACCAGTGTTTAAGTATTTTTTTAAAAAATAGTAAGTCGTTGCGTTGCTTATGATCAAATGTTTTAGTTGTGTAATCAAATGTTGTACTTTAAAGAGTGTTTAGCAACATTTCTCTATATAGCTGTTAGCGTAAAAGGATAATAGCTAATTACATTTTTGCCTCATACACAAAGCATCTGATAACACGGTTCACTAAGGTATAAGGGTAACAATCTCGTGGCTTAATTAAACGTGTGACAAGTAAAAATTTACATTGGCTTGTGGCAAACATTGTCACAATAATTTTTAGTTTGCGAACCAAAGGTAGATAAAAATGTGGTAAATTGTGTTGCATGAATTTATATGTATCGAAATTAAATTTCAATAAGACAAATGTTGAAAATATTCATATTTTGTATGAATGAATAATTTCATAGAACTTAAGTTTATAAATTGCCCGAAATTGTTTAAATTTGGTTCTACTTGATAGTTTGATATCAAATGTCTAAGAGAGTGTGTATTTTATTTTAAATATAAGTTAAGATATTCATTCTCATAAAATTGTTGTTTTTTTACAACTAAGAGTTGTTACCAAAATTACTATAATACTTAAAAGAACAGAGCTCTAAATGTGGTGTGATCCTGTTGATTTATCGAGCTGCTACATCTTTACTGTCCAGTCTTGGGAATTATTATTCAGAATAATGTTAAAGAAAGGAATTTCGATAGTCTTACCTCTAAGAATATAGTATTTAACACGATTATCACTACAATTACCATCACCCTATCGTAATATGGTTGATTGTAACTTATTTGAGTTTGTATGGATGGAAATACAACATAATAGACAGTTTTCATTTGACTATCGATTATCAATAGTAATTATTTAAATATAGAATACATTAGTTGTAGATTTATTTTCCTGTACGTCTCGTTAAACAATTGTATACACACGTATAAGTGTGTATTAACATTTATGTTCTATTTACAATTGAAACTGTATTTAATTTTTAGGTAAGTAACGTCACAACCCCTCAATCATTTCTCCCGCCTTTTCCCAACTTATTTTCCCATTTTGGTTCGAACAAGTAATTTGAGGTTATGTTCAAAAGGATATGACTTATCTTTCCTACGACAAACATCAACATCCTACGATAATAACATCTTCCTGCGAAAATTCACAGATTAGCTTATAGAAAATCTATTTATCTCCGGTACATTCTACAAAAGATTAAACAAAACTTCAAATAGTACAAAATTTCATAGGGACATCATGACCTCTTCTAATACAAGGTTGTGGTGTGACAAAAGTGGCAACGTCGCAGCCCCGTCCTAACGTGTTGCACTAGTAATTAAGTTTCTGAACAATACTTATGTTTACTCGTCTGTTATCGCTGTTACCATGGCAACAGGCTGGCAGTGCGACGTTGCCACACCAACGCCGTGGCCTTGTATTAGAGGTAATGGGAACATCAATTAAAACCTATCAGAAACACATTTAATTGGTTAGGTTAGGTTAGGTTAGGTTAGGTTAGGTTATAAAGTCCCCACCTGCGGTGCGTGTTCCACGGGTAGACCAAGCTTCTTCAGGTCACTCCCGAACTCCTTGACGCCCTCGTAGTCGCCCTGGATGGCGTATGCAGCGAACTTGCTGAGTTTGTTGGTGATCCTCTCAGCCTTGGTCACCTGTCCTGGTCGTACTCCTGGTCGCTCCTTGTAGAAGATAAACTGCAGCTTGACCGTGAAGATCTTACCGTACACGTCGTACTGCTGCGCCCCTATGGACACCAAATGGAAATAAAGTTAAGTCGAGGTCAGTAAACAAGGTTTATGGGGAAATGAATGTTTAATTGATTTATTTGAATCTTATTGTTATAGTATCTGTATAGAGATATAGTTAAGCACGAGAAAGAGGTTGACGACCTCTTTTTAACTCCCATTTGTCCATCCACATAAGCCTAAAGTCTTCAAACGTATTTTTCTAGGTGTGAGCTGGTATAGTTTAAAGGCGAGTTTTAGTGAAAGTTGACGTTTTAGTGGACTTTAAGACGCACGGAATCACGTGTGTCGCTTTTGTTCCGTGGTTGAGGGCTTATTTATTCACACCACTTTTGTCCTGGTGGTCTGCAAGTAGATTTCGGGGCCGGCCGAAATATTGTTTTTGGTCCATGGACATATTTCTTGTTCCACGATAGGGGAGCTGCACTCTCCCTCCCCAATATCCTCTCTTTCGCTCACCTAATTCTTTCTTGCACAGGTTAGGTTGGGTTAGGATAGGTTCGGTTCGGTTGGGTTACGGAGAAAATTCTAATTTAACGAGTTTTAATGCAAGAATTAGGTGGAGCGCGAAAGAGAGGATTTGGGAGAGTACAACCCTCTTTCTTGTGGAACAAGAGAGATGTCCGCAGAACAAAAGTGATGTTTCGGCCGGTTTCGAATCTACCTGCTGACCCCTGGAACAAACGTGATGTGAAGAAATTAGACTTCAACCACGGAACAAAAGTGATACAGCCACGAAATCGCTGCTACGGATTCACAATCCGTCACGTTACTATACCCTTAGCAATATGGGAATGCCTCTGAACGCCAGGTAAAATGCATGTGTTCAATGCCACCCTTATTACGAGTGGCATAGCTGAGCCACCGACTCGTCAGACACACTATAATAGCTGTGATCTGATGTGGTGTAAATTTAACGTAACTGAATATTTTTTATTAAAACTAACTTAACATTCAATTGAAGTTTTAATGAGTTCGTATTTTGTCCCTCAAACAAAAGATGTTTCAAATGCAGCATCAATAAAAAGGCATTCCACTCAGGGTTGGTATTGACATTTGAACTCTCTATCTTTCAAATAATTTATTACTGATATACCTACTGCATATGTGAATAGCATACCAATATCAGACACGGAGTAACAAGGCTGCAATGGGAGCTCCTGGAAAGGATCCTTGTCATCCTTGTTGTTGAACAGTTGAAGAACAGGGTTCTCTCCTTGGAACACTAGCTTCATAAACACCTTCTTCCAGAACCTACGAAATAAACAAATCAGTTTAAAGTGATTTTTCTACAAACAAGAATTTACTGTTATTTTATCACAATAGTATTTTGGTGCAATATATGGCTTAAAAAAGTATGGTGTTAAATCTAATAACTTAAGAAAACCGATATCAATTTTTTTACAAGTTTATGAGGCACATTTCAGATGAAGTCGAATGGTAAACAACAACGTTTTGCTCAAGAGAACGCTGAGGAATCTTCATTGTTGTTATTAACATTTTATTGGCAGAACCCCATGTTGTATTCAAAATAATTGTGTTCTCTTTTAATAACTCTCTTTATAACTACGTGCAATAATTTAATTAACGTTTTTTCACCTTACAAATATTAATGTGGTGTACTGGGCAAGTTTATAATCATAAACTTTATCTATCTCATCTTAATTGAAAATTGAATATTCTTTTGGTAACTACGTTTTTGCAATACTATACACATTTCACAATATACGTTTATACCGTCATGAATCAAGGACCATCAAGAATCGATGTATTCCCTCTAAAAAGCAATTTTTGGACTTGTTGAGACCCTACGTTCTTATGTAATCAATTACGTACTAAAGCTGGAGATTTCGTCATGACAAACTACTCATCAACTGTATTAGAAATGACTGTAGGGAAGTTTCCTCCTTGATCGAGTTAAGTTCCTTAACAATAACAAGAACAACAACAACAACAACAAGTCCGTTCAATACTTGAAGCTAAGGGACGAAAATGACTTGGATCTCTTAAGTGTCTGTCTCTATGGCGTTTTCCTATCAAAGGATGGGAAGAAGCAATCAGTATCACCCCGGTATCAGGCCAACATTTTACAGACATAACCAGGGCTAAAAGTACTCAGAGAAAAGTGGCGAAAGAACAGTACTGGGGAAAGGGCCAAAAATAATAATTATACTAGGGTCTAAAGCTTGTTAACTTTGTTATATTGTAGCAAGATCCCATTATCCTTTATAACAGAATTCAGTTAAGCGTTCTCAAATTTACTATTAAATTTGAAATTAAATTATATTCTTAATTTAATAATATTATTACTTAATTATTAAGAAATCAAATTATTATATATAAACATAATTTCTTGACATAATAAATTATTGAACAGTTTACATTTCTAGGGGTAATTATATCAAGCAGTAATAGTGAAGGAATGGAAATAAACTATAGGATTGCTCAAGGCCAAACATGCATGCACTCTTGTAAGAAATTGTTGACTTCAAAGATTCTCTCACATAGAAAGAAAATAAAAATATATCATACTGTATTTTAACCAGTATATAAATATGGAGCTAAAAATTGGATTTTAAGCAAAAAATGGACACAAAATGATTGTTTTTTTTTTCAAAAACATTTTAAGAATGATATATATGGACCAACACAAGAAAATGGAGATTGAAAAAAAAATAATAGGGAAATAAGGAATAGGTATAATGATTATGATGTAGAAGCACACGTGAAAGCAAGGAGAGTAAGGTGGGAAGGACACGCAGTACGGAGAGAATGGGGTTCACTATTAAAAGAAGCAAGCAATTGGAAAGCCAGAAGGGAAACGACCATTGAGAAGGCCCAAGAACAGATGGCGGGATAGTGTCTCCAAGGACGTCAGAGAAGTGGGGGCAGCAGTGTATGAGGCAGAAGATAGAGAGAGATGGAGAGCAGTTGTTGGTGCGGCCAAATCCCGCCTTGGCAATATGAATGGCAATATGAGTGAATGTAAGTTTAATATTGGGAAGACAAATATTACTCTAGATTCTAGAACATCCTTCTTCAGCCTCACCTTTGCCCCGTGATCTTCTTCTTGTTCGGCTGCCTTAGCTGCATCTCCCATCCTAGTCCCGTGTAGTGTATCCTGGGGAAGGGTTCCAGAGGCTGAGAGACGTCCTCGTCAAACAGCGGCGTCGGAGGCGTCTCCTGGGAGTCTGTCCTCTCCAGCGTCTTGTCTTCCGCTAGAGGCAGCGAGGCCGCTGTCCAACAAACTCAAGGTCAACTATGGCGTCCCAAAGGAATGACTTAAATTACCATGGCATCTTATTTGATTCGTAAAATTATTTACCTAAACAGATGACACATGCAAGCATTCTCGTATCTTTAACTAAACCTAAGTCTATTTTAAACTATTGTTGCCAAACATGGTTGAACAGTATGTCATAACCTCGTCAAAAATGTATTTGTTAATAGCTTTGATATACGTATTTAGGACATATTTTAAGGCTGCCACTGTGTAACGAGTAATAGTAAAGGCTACTAACTCTCATGACATCCTTAACAACATATTGTAACATAAACCATACTATATTTGTCTGCAAGAAGTAATTAATCTACTGAACCTACACAGTAACTATACAGTAACAATATTAAAACAGAATACGGTATGGATCGTAAATTACGTCACAGGTCCGAATGTATACTGTACTAATAACAACGGTTATTAAAACAGAAAATAAGATGGACCATAAACATCAACAAATTACGCCACTGGTCCTAAAGTCAACATATTTGTATTATTATCTAAAATGAACTGAAAAGAAGGGCCAAATATAAGTTATTCATACAAGATTCTGGCCAGTGACGTCATTTGTATATGTTAATGATACACCGTTTCTAATATACGTGCTAACTGTAACATCTGGCTTGGAAGTTTTTGACGATTGCATTTAAATATTATAGCAGACATGTTGACTTTCAGACCATAACGTCATTTTATTATTTTTTATCAATACAGTTTTCTGCTCTAATATCCACGACGGAAGAGAAATAAAAGTGCTTTACGATCTTGCAGTAGGAATTACGTTTCATTACCCGTAATTATTAATGGGAAAAACCTCTAAAAATTTTTATTTTTTCTCTTTTTTTCGACCCTATTGCTTTAATAGTATCTTAAAGTAACTAGATGAAACCATTATGAAACTTTTACTACTTGAAAGTTACCAAACATAACTTCTTTTATAACTGTTTGTACTTCCTCCAAACTTCTTTTTACAACTCGTGCTATTGTGAAACAACATGTTTTGTTTATAAAACAAAATCATTGTGAACCTACGTTGTGCGAAGATAGTCTCGGTGACTTGTGCGGGGATCTCTTGGCTCTTGTCGAAGGGGTTGAATCGAGGGCTGGAGTCCTGGAAGGCGTTGACGGGGCTCTTAGGGGGAGGGGCAAGTGCGGGTGTGACTCCTCCTACATCACCAGCCTGCTTGGGCCTAGGTCAAACATAGGCAAAATTCAATACTTGGGTAGGTATTGCATAGAAAGTAGCTCATATTTTCATCTAGTCAGGCTCTTCTAAAATGCAATCATGTTTGAATAAACTTAGTTCTATTATTAGTTTCGTCTAGCATTAATTACTGCAGAAGATTTAATGATTTAACTGTATGAAGGATAAAGGGGAAATATTCACGTTTTACTTCGATGCAAATACTATAGGTACTTGAATCATCGCTCATCTAATACTCTTTACACCTATATATTTTTAAGCACTGCAGAAGTATAATAATGGAATACGAAATCAAAGTGTTTAAGTTAATTAGCAGACTTTTGATGTGACATTCCATGGACAGAATTTGTTTGGTTCTTACTTGATAAATATACTGAACTCCTTGTCATCAGAATCAGCTGATTCCCCTCTGCTGAATCTGGCGGGAGTACTCTGCGGTACGGGCGGAGGCTCCTGGGCAGCGAGGAATGAGTCGAAATTGTCGTCTGCTCCGAATCCCATAGAGGCGTCTCCTGAACAAGTGTTTCGTTAAATATTTCCAAACATTAAAAATTGTCATTGGAGTCCATCTTCTCTTTTAGAAGAGTTTAGGTTAGTTATACAAGTCAGGCACTGTAATTATGTGGCATATGCTTAGCCTACTCTAACTAAAAAACCTAAAGATAAAAGTTATAAATCGTGAAAAGATTCTGCTAAACAGACTGTTCTCATAAAATGTCTTAAATGTAAAATATATATATATGTATTCAGGTAAACAATGTTATACCGTAACAATATCACTGCACCACATATTTCAACTCATCGAAATACCTGACTCTGAATATGTTTATATACTGGATATGTTTAGGTCAACCATAATGTGGGTTCGTTAAACAAAAAAAATTAAGCTACGTAATAATGATGTGTTGAGTAGGTTCAATCATACAGTCATATGAAGTATGTACAAGATAAAATTCAACAGGAGACACCCATACAAATTTTATCTTCAACAATCAGGAGGGTTTACCAAACTAGATTGTTTTGTATCTATAAGCCGAACTTACCTTCCACCTTAGGTGGTCCGAATGGTGATGAGCTGAATGGATCTCCGAAAGGATCTGCTGCAACATTTGCGTTTTTATCTCCCATTCCTACGCTTTCAAACTTGGCAGAAAAGGCATCAAAATCATCAACAGGCTTCGGAGCGGAGTCTCCAAAAATGTTAAAAGGCTGAGAGGGAACCACGGGGGTTGTGTGAAGGACTGTTTCCTGAGGTGCGAACAGATCTGCAGTCTGAGGTTGAAATGATAATGAATCAGACTCGTTTAAGAATAAATCATTTGCTTGACTCGAAGGAGCACCAAACATAGATAACTCAGGTGCAGGTGGGTTTTCTATGACTGAGATGTTCATTTCCGAATCAAAACCAGAATCGAAACCAGACGCAAAACTAGACACTTCTTCAGTTTTCGGTTGCTCAAAAGGTGATGTCGGGAAGGGTGGTTCTTGGCGGGGTTCATCGAATGCTGAAGTTGAAAAGACAGGTTGAGCGGGCTTGTCTTCTGGAATCTCTGCTGTAACAGCAGGTAAACCTTGCGTGATTTCCTCTCTTGCTGTTGGAGCATCGAAGACAGATGTAAACTCTTCCGATCCTTTCCGTTCATCAGGAAACACCGTGGTATCTCTTCCAAAAACACTTGTATCAGGTGAAGCGTGTTGTGAAAGAATACTTTCCGCAGGTTTAGAACCAAAGAAGTCTTCTTGCTCTTGAATACTCGATGGTTGTGTTTCTGAAGATATTGTCGTATTGGTCGTCACAGGAGCAGGTGGCTGGGCCTCAGGTAGATCAAAAATATTTTGTTGTACTTGCTGAACTGGCTGGATCTGCTGGATTATCGGAGGTGGGGGTGGCTTTGGTCGTTCTGGGGGCAGTTTTGGTGGTGGAGGTTTGGGGGGTGGGCCTGCAACAGGAGGCAATGGGGGAGGATGTGCTGCAGGAACAACCGGGGGAGGATGAGCTGTTGGGGCAAATGGAGAAGGATGCGCTAGTGGAGCAACTGGGGAAGGATGTGCTGCTGGACTGACAGGGACTACGGGAGGCACTGAGGTTGGGGCTGGTGCGATGGGCACCATGTGCACAGGAGACGCTGTCATAACGGAGGCTTCAAAATCGTCCATATCACCTAAGAGATTAACTTCTTGAACTGGCTGTGTTGGTTCTTTATGTACATTTTCTACATCTAGGAAATCACCAAACATATCTGGTGTAGGACTCGGCGAGTTCAAGTCCCTCATTGGTGTCGGACTTGGGGTCCTCGTGGCTTGCAGCCTGTCTAACAAGTGGGACGATGTAGCCTCCATTGCTCCTGTTACACTCAATATTAAATCTTTTGTTTCCTTAGATGGTGGCATCCCTGGCCTTGGAGGAGGTGGTCGTCTTGGAGGTGCTCCTCTAGGGGTATTAGTTCCTGAACCTTCTCTACTACTAGACATTTCAATTGGGTCTACACCGAACAAATTTACATTTTCATTTACAAAATGAGCTGTGTGATCTATAGAGGATCTAGCAGAACTATATGTTGGGGCGGGTGGAGGAGGTGGTTGCGTAGGTTCAGCGAAACTACCGAAAAAGTCGTTTGCTGTTCCGTTAGCTGTGCTGGTTGGAGCAGTCGGGGCAGCTGAAGCGAAAATATTTTCGTAGTTTTGGGAAGTGCTCTGAGCAATTCCCGCGTCAGGAGCTGGAGAGCTGAAGAAATCGGAAGTCATATCACTACTCTCTGTAGTAAAAGCGAATGGGTTTGTATTCGCTGAGGCGGCATTGTTGAGAGTGCTCATGAAAGGATTTTCAATGTTTGATGCCGTAAAATCCATAGTGTTAGAAAGGAAAGGATTGAAACTTGTGCTGTTGGAGGACACTTGAGTGTCCCCAACATTCAGATCGTCCATTAGAAATGGATTCGCCATCTTGAACTTGTATGAAAATTTAATTAATTAATTCGGACTCTAAGAGCTTTAGCTCTGCCTTTCCCGGGAGGAGGTTTTCAACACAAGACGTATCGAATGGATCTACGTCCGCTCCTAGTTCAAAGGATATTTTGCTACTCGCGGATTGTGGCGTGAGTGGTTTCTCAGCAATGGAGACGTCTTCAGTGTGGTCGATAAAGTTTTTGTGTTCACTTTGAGACTGTCCTTCCTTCTGAGGTGAATCTCTTGGATTGAAATCAGGGTCTGTGTAACTTCTCTTTATCGACGTCCCAGCGTCTGCGGTTATTAACTCACTTTCTAACAGCTTTAACTCTGCTTTCCCTGGTAGTACGTTATTTACAATAGATGTATCAAATGGATCTGTATAGATGATATTTTCTAGGTCGTCTTCAATCTTCTTAGGCACAACAGGTGTGTGAAGTTTGCAAGTGATCACTGTTTCCTCGCACAATATGTCGGGTTGTAACTTTTCTGGTGACTGAACAGTAGTTTTCAAAGGCAAATGCGTTGGTGGTCGGGGAGGAGGGTTTACTGAGTTAGTGTTGACGACAATCGGGATATTCTTTGTGTCAGTATCCTGCCTTGGATCAAATTCAGGATCCGAAAGAGAACGTTTCAAACTAGTTTCAACTACACTCTTTAGCTCACTCTCAATTAATTTTAGTTCAGCTTTGCCAGGTGCGTGAGTTACGAAAGAAGTATCAAATGGATCAACGTAATTATTTTCACTCTCACAGCTTGGTCTGTTGTTTACCTCTTCAGAATTAGCGTAGTAAGGCGTTAAAGGTTTGCCAACTTTTGAGTTTTCCTCTTGGTCGACTGCAAGTAAGTCAGTTTCTGGCTGAAGTGTATCGATGTTAAAAGCTACCACTTTAGGTATGGAGAATCTCTTTTCTCCAACAGGTAGTTGATCTGGCCGGGGAGGCCTTGTAAACTTTGGGGGTGATTCAGCTCTTGGATCAAAATCCGCGTCGTCGTCAATACGAGATATTACACCATCCAAGAGTTCCTTTTCTAAAAACTTTAGCTCTGTTTTACCCGGAGCTACCAATTCTTCAACAACTGATGTATCGAAGGGATCTGAATATTTTAGATCGTCACTTCCTTCTTTTTGGGCTGTTGGTTCTATCGGGCAGTCTCCGATATTAGAAAGATCAGTTGTGCTTCCTCCAAGTAAGTCCCGATGCTTGAAACTGAGTGGCCTTTGATCTTCCTCAAGGAAGTTGTGTTCGTTTGAAGAATCGTTCAACCTAACACTTGGTATTTCTTGCAATACTTTGTGTAGAGTCGGTTTGAGCTGTTCGTGCTCTGTAAGTAAAATCTCCTCTTCAATTAGCTTTAGTTCAAACTTTCCTGGCAGAACATTGGCTGCAAATGTTGTATCGAAAGGATCTGCTCCATCTTCAATGTCATCACAGATTTCACCACCAGTTGGTTGATCAACCTTCTTATGAACCGATTCTTGAGCTAATGCGGCAAACTCGTCATCCAAGTCATCTACTTCAGGACTTAGAGTTTGGTTGTTATGATGGACAGTATCAAACTCCTCTACGACGGATTTTGTTGTGTGTTCGTTACTGCTGGCACTAACTGAGTTTTTTCTTTCGACGAGTGGACTCGGTGGTGCTAATACAGTCGCTAAGTTTATCGATAAGTCGATTTCTTCAGGAACAAATTCTGGCTCCTCATCGAGAATTGATTTTGGAGGAGGTTCATTGACTACCGGCTCTGACTCTGCTGAAGGATCTACCTCATCAAAACTTCCCAGTAAAAGGTCTTGTTTCTTCGGCCGTTTCCTCTTCTTAGGGAGGGCCTCTGGCACCGGGATTGGTTTGTCTACTCTTCCAGTTAATACTTCTACTGCACACCCTAAGCTCACAAGGTGTTTCTTCTTCGGGTCGACCTTTATGACCTGGTCGACTATTGATGTATCGAAGGGGTCAGGTCCTGTGTCTTCTTCTGTTGGACTGTCCGGAATATAAGCTAACTTTACGTCTCCACTTGCTACGACATCGACATATGATGTATCAAATATATCTTCATCTTCACTTTCCTCTTCCTCCTCTTCTTCTAGGGCTAGGGGTTCCTCCTTTTGTTCCTGTAACTCCTCCCCTTTATGATCCTCTCTTTCTTCTACTCCAGGTGCAGAACCCTGAAAATTGTCCCACTTTTTAGAATTCCCTTCGGATCTTGACTGTGCGTCACTGCTGCCTGCGTTTGATGGCCCGGGAGGTTTTCTTTGAAAGAAACTCGAAGATTTGATTCTATCTAAGTCTCCTTGAGTCTTCTTGAGGACGTCATCTACACCAGCTGTAAGTGCTTGAAACTTTCTCCACTCTTCGCTTTTTTCAGAGGATGATCCTTCCCCAGCGTCTGATGGTTCTCCGACCTCTTGTTTTTGCTGATGTTCCCTTCTATACTGTTCTAGTTCTTCTGGATTAAATAGTTCGTCCTCCTTATGCTTTCCCTTTTTCCCCTTCTTTTTCTTTTTTAATACTTTTATTTTCAGCATATTCTACATCTACTTCAAGAATACATCTGAAACAGATCAAAATAATCAGTACGGTTTTAGGTGCCCTTGAAAATGTTTGAACGTAGAAGTGATTTAATGGCTTAAACAAATTGAAAATACAATAATAAATTTATATATAATAATTTTTAAATGATTCCAAATACGCTTTGTGTGGTTTGCAATTGCTTTATCGTTACGTTTTACAAAATATAATACTTCATTGTGGTAAAATAATATTGTTATTGAGGTTTTCATTCCTAATTTAGTTATTCCGTTTACCAGATCAATCATCACCTATAATAATCACCACAATAATCAACTCGCTTTTTGAAACCTATTATCGTATCTGTTTATCAGATAAATAAATATTGTAAAGATAAATGTACGCAGCCGAGTTGTTGATTAAATTTGCAATTCAAATTGGCGAAAACAGCTTCTCTGGCAAAACAAACCCATTCACAATTATTGTGTTAACTTATTGTTGTAACATCGAATCTGTTGGGTAAAAGTATGGTAAAATAACTTTACGACTAATTAGTTCATTGCTGAAATATATTGGCATTTTAAACAAGGTTGCTATACAAAGCTATGTAAAATATTGGATTCGTTTCATAAAATAGTTCTCTGAAGATGAGGCAAACTAAAAGACAGTCAATAATTATATTTTTTGAAATTAATCACCTCAATCACATTTTGTCGAGATAATAATGCTTACTTCAATACAATATGAGATGTTTATGGCACTAGGATAGCACAAAAGGACGGTTAAACCAATTTACCGGCAGATTATATTGCGGTTCAATTAACCGAAGTGTATGTAGAAACTATTTAAACTGATTAAGCCGAAATATTTATTACCCTAGGTGAAAGGCGTTTAACAACAAACAAAATTAAAATTAAATCCTTTTTTAGTTAAATTTGTATCCTTACATTGTGTTACTACATTTTTACAATGGTGTCGGCAGTTTCTTGTTATGGTTTGTTGTTAAATATGCCTATGGGAAACTTGAATTTACAGTATGTTTCGATATTATTGTAATATCTTACTGTTTCCGATTAACCTGTTTACTTTCTCGGATATTAAAATAACTTAATTGCTTTACTGAAGCTTTGGTAGTGCATTGTAATTTTTTTGTAAATCTCTAATTATCTATCTATCTATCTATGTATCTTCTATCTATCTATGTATATACTAGCTGTTAAACCCGTGCTTTGCAACGAGAAGAGGACACAAAATAGGAACATTTTAATCTTTTTATGATTATCAAAGCATCAAGGACTAAAAAATATAATAGCAAATACAGTATATGTTTCATTGCATCTCTGATTCTACTCTACAAAAACATCAACAAACAACTTAATAAACCAGTTCTTTTAATCGGTTCTATCGTCCATTGCCTTTACATTTTCACACTTACCATTAAGTAAACATGTGCAAGTTGTTAATCCAACACATGTTAAGCAGTTAGAATTTATTCAAAGTAGCCTCCAAATTCATACAAAACATCTATACATTGTTAATCTTCGATTTGTTTTAGTGATATATAATTTTCTTTTAACTAACAGCTGGTTGGATATAAAAATGCTCCTTAGAACCAGTAGAATTATGAGGTTATTTTATTTACTCTGATTTGTCATTGATTTTTAGGAAATAAGTAAGATTAGTAGACCACCGAGAAAAGTAACACCATCGATGTATACAAGTCGAGGCTCTGTACACGAGTCAAAAAGGATATGCAAATTATTATACTGCTTAAGTTTTTTAGGAAAGGGTAGGAAAATCCACTGTTTACACGATTTAAAAAGTTGTTTGTGCGTGTGTTTAGTTGTGGTTACGTTTAGAGGCGCTGAATATTTTATAGTTTAAATAAATGAATATGAGGAATTACAATGTACATTGATTCAATGAGGGTGGCTTAATTATCAAGGATATTAGAACTGATAATGGTATGGATAATAAACATAGACAATTAATTACGTCACTAGCTTTACTAGCGTGTTTACGTTTTAAATTCCGTCAACATGTGACCAGTTCTTTTTTTTATGAATATTATTTTATTTTTGACTCAGCTGTTTACAAAACAAACTATATGTTGTTGTTTTTACTTTTCTTTGTTTACACTTATTTATTTAGCAATTGATGCAGTGAAATTTATATAAAGGATATGTGTGGACGATTAGTTTAATGATGTCAGGACACTGACGTTAAAATTATGTGTACTGTGAATTTTATTGGACGTTTTCGTTTTATTTTAGGAAGTTTCTATTCAGACCCACTGGAAATTGTGTATAGTATGAGTAATTGTATTGTGGTGATATTGATTAAGGAAGAGGCAATTATGCGATGGAATTGGAAGGTGATATCGTTGACTAGGCCTATACACTTCTCAATTGATAATTACTCTTTCTACTGTAGGCTGCAATAAAATTTGTTTTTATGCGAGTAAGCTAGCTGTTCTGAATTATACACAGTTTTAACTGACTACTCCCGTACGTAGGACGGGCTAACAACTCGTTTTCATAATTTAGACGCTTTAAAAAATACAAAGCAGAGCCGGAGTTGATACAGCAACGGTTATAGAATCTTTTTTTTTTTTGTATAATCATTGACATAGTTTTAGAATAAATAATCCATGATAAAAGGTTAGATTAAAATAAACCTACCTCATAGTTATGGAAAATATTATATTTAATTTCTTTGTATCAGCTGTCTGAAATTGTGAAATTTGCAGTTTAGCAGTTCTTCTTGTTGTTTAAATTTAATGTCAAAGCAAATGTAAACAAACATTGTTGGTGTTCTCATCACAGCCATGGAGACCAATCAATATTTACTTTTAAAATGTTCACCTCAGAACTTTTAAAGCCAAAGGGGCAAAGCATTCGGTCAGTATCGAAATGTGAATAGTCCTATAATGGTCCTTGGTATGGAAGCTATATTTTTTTTTAATGTAAGCCCAGTTGGTTCAGTAGTTTTTGCACCTATTAGTAACACACATACAGACAGACACCATTAGATTTTTATATAATAGTATAGATTAATTACGTAAGCCGATTCTTTGCGTCAAAATTGTGGGCGACTGGGAAGTCGTAGAAGGACGGGGGAGGGCTCAAATTAAAGGTCTCGACCCCGTGACGGCGGGAAAAATAAAGAAATTCCCCAAATCTTAATACAAAATTAGATATAACGTAAAATGTTCTCCATAAGAATAGCATTAGAAGTCATTTACTGCTGATTTCTGTTTACTTCAATACAGCTGATCGTGCTATATCGTGAAAACAGTGATCAATACACGCATTTGGTTTACTTTTAGCCAGTCAACTATGAAACGTATACTATAATAAAACTGAAATCTTGAAGATTAATAGGAAAAACGTCTGCATTCTTTGTTTATATTTAAATCATATACTCAAGTTTCATTTTTTCATGCTTTTACGTTATTGCCGTGTTAAAGGAATAAACGACATAGAATAAATATTCTGTATAAATAATCAAAGAGTCGAAACTAAATCCAACTTCTGTTTTGTTTTTTATTTTTAAATCATATGTTCAAGTTTATTTTAAATGATGTTGTTTTCTTTATATTTCTACACATTTTAAGGTTAAGGTTGTGTTAATATATACAACTAAAATAACCTATAAATGTTATTGGTTCTAAAATGGTGTATTTGCATTCCTTCGTAAGTAAATATTTTTTTAGTGCAGTGAATATACAACGTAGAGTAATCATATTCGATCATACTTTTATAAAATCGCCAGGGATTCAAGATGTTTTGGTATGTAGGCTGCCGGATATATATTCTTTTCATTATAAGTACTGTAATTAATATGAACGCCAGGGGTAGACCACAAAGGTGGGGAACTGTTCATAGGAATGACAGTGCGCGTAGAAGAGCAAGAGTAGATAATCAAGATATGTTACAACCCCTTTTTAGGAGACCCATGGTAGACGAGAGAAATGTAAATATTCATGATGCAGGATTACTGGACCAAACATGCATTCAATGTAGTGCTCTTCATTTTAGAGAAAAACTAACGAATAATAATTTTATGGCATGTTGATATAACGGACTTATTAACCTTCCTCAGCCAAAAACTAATGTAGAACTTAAAAATTTGTTTGAAGAGAGCCCACAACTGTATAATTTTTTTCGACAATACAACAGTGCGATGGCTTTTGCTTATTTTTCAGCCAGTAAGAAAGATATTCCAGGAAAAGGGCCATACTGTTTCAAAATTCAAGGACAGATTTATCGTTCAATCTCAGATTTGCTGCCTCAACATGACGAAGACCCCGTGTATGGCCAATTGTACATTATTGACACATCAACAGCAACAGAAATTCGTCAAAGGCGTCGAGAAAATAGTGACTTAAAACCTGAAATATTGTTAAAACTAGCTGAAATTCTATTAGAAAATCCATTTGCACAAATTTACAAAAGAGCTTCGGAAGAAATGGTTATGTACAAGGTGACAGTGAATTAGAACTTAGGTTTGTAGACAGGAAAAATATGGATCGTCGTAGGTATAATAAGCCTACTGCAGATGAAATTGCAGGCGTCTTCAATTCATCTGAAGGCGAACCTCCAATTAATTTTTAAAATTCCAAACAGGGAATCTTTTATTTATCCTCATTAACCACAAGACAAAAGCTACCTTAGTAAACCAGTATTTATTCACAAACAATGATATGTTTGCTGCCTTTTCATGTTAAACCACTGGAGTGATTCAAATTATTTATTGAAAATAGCATCAACAAAAGCAAACAAAGAAGAACAACAAACTGGTTTTTACACAAAAGATAAGGTGTAGGGTTGCCTATTCTGACACATTGATAATGTTATTCTGAGTTTGTTTGAATACCGGAATTGCAATATGTTGTTTTACATTTGAGCTTTTTAGGGACTTATGTCCCTACATGCCACTAGTGGTTAGTATTATTAGTTTAAGATTTTCACTATCTTGAAACTTTTTTTGATTTTGTAAAACCCCAAAAATACCTATTAGCCATTTATTGAGACTCAAAAT